TTGCGTTGGAGGTCATCACAATCAGGTTCCTTAAAGTATCCTCCTCCTCCTCCTTCTTCTTCTTCACCTCTCAACAGAGGGCAAGGTCCAGTATGGTGATGACTGCTCTTCTGGGAGTTCTGGTTTGTATCTAACATGGAGCAAACGTCTAGGGTTAATAATTAGATCGGAATCGGATTGGAAGAATGTGCCACAAAACAACATTTGAATACATTTGACATGTCAACATCCAAAGCAAGATTGTTTTGCCGGATCCATTTTCATGGGCTTCTGACTTGTATAAGTTGTTTGGAATCTGGTTTGAATCTGAATCTCCCCCAAGCACTCGATGTGCGGATGCTTGACCTACCCCTCAAACCACCTCAGTGTAGGTAAACATGCCAGTCCTTTGACAGTCCTGCATTATCATGGTGTGCTGCGATGTTTTGGGTGGCTCCAGGTCAGAAAGCTTATGTAGCAGCATCCTACTCGACTCAAAAACAGAAAAAGGACCCAAAAACCATCTGCCAAGGGATAAGCCCTGCTGGGCGGCCACCGAACACTCACCGGTCTCGCTTGTGAGACCAGACCGGCTTTGGGCGGCCGACCGGCTCTCATTCTCGGCGGAAGACAGCCGAACACAGCATGCAGCTTGCTGTGTAGTGCCTCCACCATGGTATGAACATGAGGCGTGCTGGAGGACTGGAGGGCGAGGGCCACGAGGGCGAGGACGAGGCACAGCAAGCTTGCAATATTGATTGAAAATAGGTATGTTGCTTGCTGGCTGGTTGGCTTGCTTGCTTCAGCCCTTACAAAACTCATACCAGTCTGATACACTCCCGCAAAAATCATCATGGGCCAACGCCTTGGACGTGGATGGCAGCCCCGAAAATTCGGAGGACAGTGAGAACCCAAATACCCATAAATAACCAAACAGGTGGTTTTCCATCCATGTAGCCATGATGAAGAACCCAAGGAGTGTGACACCTGGAGAACCCAACAAGTGTGAAGGCTCTTTGATTCTGTCATGTCGCTCCAGACCAGGCAGAATTGCTCCGTGGACAGGGCCCGCACCGCATGGTTTTGATGCCCGGTTTTTGGGTGCATTTATCATCATTTATCATATGTTTCCGGTAGAACTGGGTGAATGCCCAGAGTTTTTCTATTTCTTCCCAAGAGAGCCAGCTGTTTTGTGAGGGACCTCCGCAGGCGAGGTAAGCACTTCTGTCCTGATCCAGCAGGTCTACCCAGTGAATTGTAGTTTTCCAATTGCCGCATGGTCTGAGGTCCCACACCCAAGCCAAAAGCGCTCAAGTCATCATCATCATCATCATCATCATCATCATCATCATCATCATCATTCTTTCTTTCTCAACGCTCACCGTGCGGTGATTGCGTGGACCCTTGGCATCTTTCAGCCGGTCCGCCAGTCCCGGAGGACCTTCAACCAAACGAGTGTCCAGCAGCGTTGCCAGTGTCGTCGACTGGGCTTGATGTTGCTACATGGACCTCAAAATCTAATGAAGGCAGAAAACTGCCTAAGACAGGCGCAGGAATGAATTTCCCGCTCATCTTCCGCCGACCTCTGGTAGGGTTGGCAGGCGTACCATCTCGTGGCCGGCTCAGCTGCAAGGAAGCGCTCAGCACAGATCTCCTCCTGGGGTTCCTCCTGTGACCGCAGGTCCATGTGGAGAGAGGCCATGTGATCGTTCAGATTCGCCGGCCAAGTCTGGCAAAGAAAACAAATCTTGACCAGCCGATGGCAGGGTTCTGGGTGGTCAATCGGAAACTTGGTGTCCAAGCGATCCTGTGCCTGCAGCCATTCTGAGAACCAGGGGTCACCGACATGTTGGTCAGTCGTAACGTTCTGGATCTGCTGTCCCGTGATGAGAATCAGAGCCTCATCAGCCGGAGGTGTCGCAAGTTCCGCACCTCCATGGGGCAAGCATTTAAGCCACGGCATGCAACCGTTCTCCAGAAGCACTGGAGGCAGCACCTTGAAGGGCTTGGGGTCGTCGGAGACGTAGTTTGCCCACCAATTGCCACCGTGCAAAAACACAGAAACATTGTGACCCAATTGATAGTCAGAACCTAAGTAAAAAGCCAAGGCACAGACCTCATACGGTATGTTGTCCAGGTCCAGGTTGGGTCCAATGAAGAAGGGCATCCAAACCTTAGAGCTCCAGAGAACACGGGTGCGACCATTCTGACCAAAAGAGCCAAAGCAGTCCAACTGGATGCAAGAGGGGTCTGCAGAACTGACCATAGCATGAAGGCCGAAACTGGCCTCGCTCCAACTCAGGAGAGTTGCGTGCAAGTCTGCGGATCCAGCTTGTTTCCTGATGCCACTTTGCGAGCACACGTTAAGGTGCAATGGGCAGCTGTGGTCATTTTGGTCAACGACCTTCACAATGCCATCCTGTTTGGAAGTGCAGGACATGTAGAGTCTAACATGTAAGATGCAACCCTTCTTCACTGCTCTCCAGCTGATCCGCTCCTGAGGACTGAAGTAGCGTCTCACAATTGTGAGAACTCCACCGGCCCAGCCATTGGAGCCGCTGTGAATGTAGGCGAACAGCTTACCCGTGTTCCAGGTCATGCCATGCAGTTGAGCCCTCATGTGAGCACTAAGAGAGGATTTCTTCTTGGAAAATGGTTGTACATCATGGCGGTCATGTTGGGGTCCAAGGCCACTGTGCTTTGCCCAATGAAATAAGGGCTTCGGTGTTATTTTGTGGGCTTCACTGATACCCGTGGCGGCATCAGAACCCTCGGGCCACCAGGGAGTTGCATGTAGGTGGAGCGTGCTCTCGAAAGCCATAATGTAGAGAACCTTAGCTTCAAAGAGGAGCACAAGTGGTGATAATCTCTCCCTGGCCGGGGACTTGGGACCCCGGTGAGCTAGCAAGCTTTTGCTGAGACCTTGGGAGGACCAGCTTGGAGACCATGATCGATGCCTCAGAGGAGTAGAGCTAGGCTGGTAGTACTCAAAGCGGAGAAAGAAGGTGCCCAAGGTCACAAGAACAAAGGGCTCAGAGAACCAGTAGTGCAAGAGCGAGGGCAGCGAGATCAGGTCCGTCAAGAAGGCGACGGTGTCCATGCTTGCTTGGGGGAACCGCACTAGCTCTAGCTATTGGGCATAGCTAGAGCTTGAAAGCTCATGGCCCCTATCATCATCATCATCATCATCATCCCAAATCACCTGAACACACATGCGATACTTGGAGTGTTTGGGACTCCACAACTCAACTCATTCCTTCCATCTTCCACCTCTTTTCCTCCCTCGAACGACCTCGCGACCGAACTCGACCTCCGAACTCCGCTCGTGTCAGGTCCCTCCGTAGCGCTCGCTCCGGAGGCGAACGCGGGTGGGGCGGACCGGAGTTGGCGGACCGAAAGGCCGGTTGCGGAATTCGGACTCCTTGTGTTTCATGGGTCTCAGGCGAATCCGGATATCATGGTATCATGTATCATGATGTACTTGTCTCATCGAGTGCGGATCATGGGTCTCATGCGGTATGATGTATATTGATGTATCACTTTTTGACCCTCGCCAGCTTTTTGCGAGGGTCCAGAATTTGGGCGTCACCTCGCGACAAAACCGCCGAGACCAAGAAAGAGGATTTGTTTGGGGCTCCCCAACATGAAACCGGCTGCCACGCCGCAAGAGAGATAAACATCCACCTCACCACCTAGTTCGAGACATGATTCTTTAGTGTGGGTATGCGAGTTCAAGAGATGATCCCCTCCTCAAAAGACTACGCCTCAACTACTCCTCAAAAGACTATACACCTCAAACGACCCAAAACACCTCTCATCAGCTCCCTCCTTCAAAAGACCTCAAAACCGCTCCCTCCGAAGCTCTTTCGGCTTTCGATGTAAGCCCATCGACGCGGTCTCAGGGCGAGCCTCACCGAGCGTGTGGTGCTCAGCGAGTCGATTCCACAAGATGCAGTGGGGGGCCCGAGAAGAAGTACCCGTGGCCGATGGATTCGAACGTCGATGGATTCGTGGCGTTTTTTTTTTGGTGTTTTTTTTCTGGGGGGGGTTTATTGGTTTGCGTGTGGGGCATGCAAGCTGCTGGGTGGTGCGTGTGAATGCATGTGAGGTGTGAGTTCTTTGACGTCTTAGTCTATTCGTGGATTTGGTTGAATGAGAGTGTTGTTGCCTTTCTACAGAACACCCGGAGGTTCTTTGATCATCTCAAATACATTTCACATCGACATCGAGACAGGAAAGGATTTCATGATTTCTCAGGAGAAAGTGATTGTTTCGCCAGGTCGTTGGAGGCCATCGCTAGTAGGTTGGAGGCCATCGCTACTAGGTTGCTTAAAGTTCTTCTTCGTCCAGGTCCATCAAATCGTTGAAGTTGCCCGGGCTTCGAACTGGGACTTGACGCTGATGATGGAACACGATATTCGCCGGTGGTTGTCTGTATAGATTTGGTCTTCGTGTGATTCTTGGGGATTTGAGCCATCACATCATGACATCCAACTGCGAAAAAAAAAAAGAAGCAAATCTATCAGCACAGTGCAGTCTCAGAAGCGGTTCATGGTAGCCCAGCTGAGACCCCTATGGCTGCAGCTGTTCACGTTCATGGTGGTATTATATATATATATATGATCGGTTGATGGATGGTTTTGATCATGGTAGCCCAGCTGTTCACTGGATGTTTCCTTTCGCGTTTGTCATGCCCGGTGAGCTGGACCCACGCATGACATCGCCGGACCGGTCTTAGCAGGGCGAAAGACCGAAAAAATCACTGTCGGCCTGTGTCAACGGAGGTTCGCGTTGATGCGCATCAAACACGGAGTAAGCGTAAAAAAGACCTGTTTGATGGGTTTGTTGTTTCTCTTTGTTCTGATGATGTTACCAACTATATCACATAAACATCAGTGATGATCATTGATCGCATTCACAGATGTAAGACAGTCCCGCTCACTTGCCTGGGGGACTGGTCCCCAGCATAGAGAGCTTCAATTCAACGTAGTTCAAAGGCCCATGCGGCCCATGCCATCATACTTTCTTAGAGTTTGACCATGCTGCAACCCATGTTGCCGCTACAGCTGCTGTGATAGCTGCCGTGGCAGCGGAGGCAGGCTTCTTTTCATGTGCTTTGCCGCATGTGGCAGCCTTGATCTGTGAATCAGTCGTCAGCACAGAGGAAGCACCACCGAGTTGATGGCTTATTTGGCCTGCAAGGCGGATACTCAGCAAAGGCCTAGGCAAAATTGACCGTCATCCGCTTGTTTTGATGATTCAGCATCGCACACGAAAGGTCATGAGATGCAGAAAGGAGCTTACGGAGGCAGGTTGTCCGCAACCCGAACACGTCCCCAAACCAACGCAGCTCGTAAACCTTTCCAACAAGCATTCCCTCAGTTGGGAGCGTGAAATGAATGCACCCCCAAAGTTTTAGACCTGTCTCAGGGAATTCCCGCCTTTGCTGGAGTACCTGACAACAAGTTCGGACTAGATGAGTCTTCACGCCTTCACGCCAGCACAAGAGTGAAAGAAAACACGTCGAGTGCGAGCGTCCGTTCGACACCAGCAGCCGGTACCGGCGACACGACAGAACATACGTGGCGTTGAACCGGATCGATCCAATGGCGTCACCATTGGCTGCGTCACCGGCTGCCACAGTTTTTGTTTGCCCCATGTGGCATGGGATCAAGGATGTGGTTCTAAACTCCCCGCTTTCAGACGAACATGGACACTGAGGAGCCGGCTCTTGCCGTTGGCCGTTTTTAAATAGACTAAAACCATCTTTTGGGAGGCCGTTCTTTCAGGGTTCTTATGTGTTTTTATATATTTCTTTTTGAAAGACAGCACGGGGATGCTTTGCCTCATGCCACCAGGCCAGTCCTCCACCCCGGACACACCGACATCGGTGGTCGGGGGACCCCAGGGGGCGTCTGGGGGAGAACCTCCGAGCGGCGCAGGGCGGCTTCTTGGGCGGCGCAGGGCGGTTGGGAGGAAGCGGTGGAGTTGGATTTGTCCCGGTTCCTAGGTGAATTCCTTTGCAAAGGACATCGGTTCACTAGGGTTCCATACTCACAGGGTGTCCCTCATAGTGTTCTTCACACTGGGACATCGGTTCACCCTGTGTTTTTTTCAGTTCCTGGAGCAGATGATGGAAGAGTCGTTCAGCAGAAGAGTTGCATCGAGACTCCAAAAAAGGGGCTGTGCTGTTTAAATAGCAAAAGAAACCGGAGCCAAGACATGATTATAATGTCGCCGTGAGAATATATTTCAGATTAAGATCAACAGATCGCTGTGATGGAGGAGTTGAATGAGGTTTCCTTCCTCTTTGCTCTCTCGTTTTCTGTAGATCTTTTCCTCCTTCATTTGGACCATTTTTTCTTCCTTCCCAACATGGAATTTTGTAGACGCATCGAGAAAGCAACTGCCTCGCGCTCTGGCTCTCCTCGCTCTCGTTCGGCCGTCCAGGTCGTCTGGGGCTTCCGCGAGGCGTGACGACCGGTACGACCGACCGATTCGAAAACGGTGGAAGTCGGTGGAAGGTCGGTGGATCACCTTGTAAAACAAAGCGCCATATGTTCTTTTGGATCATCTCTCATAACTTCTTTGTATAGACTATTCTACAGTAACCACAGTACACGTACAGCTGCCGTTTCACCGGTCCCGGCGAAACAACTTCTTCGGACAAAGCACGCCGTGATCAGAAAGCGGGGCTTCGCTCCTTGGTCGGCACGTCAGTCCGAAGAGGTTGGCCAGATCACGAAGAAACGAGTCGAAGACGCAGATGTTCTGCTTGTGACAGACGTCGTGCGTCGTGCGTCGACAGTCTTAAGGTGTTCAACGTCTTGTTCTGCTTCGGGCTCGTGAAGATCATGGGTTCTGCCAAGCGTCACCTGCCGAATAAATACGTTGCTTGGTGCTACCAAGCAACCTAGGAGGTAAGTTGACCATTTCTCGGGGCGTCAACCAGGGTCCCCCGATTTTGCAAGAGCTCGATTCAGAACATCCATACAGGCCGATTCACATCGAATGCGCAACATTAAGCCAACCACCATGAAGTCACTCCTGTCACACCGGTCCAGGCTTTTTAGTCGCCGACGCGTGGCGTGGCGAACTGCGGGGGCGGGAGTAGCGAACTCCGTCAGGATGCCTTGCAGTTGCAGGGCTCCAAAGCCATCGCATGGAACGTCTTGGCCTTGGCACAGCCACCGCAGCTCGGTGAGGTCCGTGACGTGGAACGTTGACGCATGTTTGACCCCGCTTTCAGAGTTTTTAGGATTGGCCCCATTGATTTCATGGCCTGAATCTCGAAGTAAGAAGTGTTTTACACATGATTTTCATTGATTTTCCTACAAAAAAACAACTCTTTTCATGGTCTTGAAGGCGAACGGGAGATGAGGATGACCTACTGAAGCTTCACTCTAAGCCGTTAGATACTCAGCTCCCCCAATGCGATCGAAGCCGTTTTTCCTCTTCACTGGACCCCAAGAAGCGAGAACAGCTGTCGACGTAGACGTATGTGGACGCCACCCGATGGACGACGTTTGCTTCCCCCCACCCGGACGCATGTTTGATGCCAGGTCAGCATATTTGACTTGATGTGAAGATCTGTCCTGGTGGAAACCTTCTGGACAAACCAGACTAGCCTCCACTTTTCGCGAGACTCATGACAGCGTTGCGTGGCGCCCACCCAGCGTTTTGAGTGACATAGAACTTCAAGGACTTGGTTCACAGGATGAAACTGTGGGATGATGGTGCTTCAAAGATGCGATTGGGTCTACTGCGAAGATCGTTTATGAGGTGATGTCTATCGCGAGGCTCTTTGAAGAAGATACTCTCCTTCGCTGGGTTTGATGCCCAGGATGTCTTTGAGAAGGGGGTCCATAATTGCATCACCGACATTGGACATTTGTGCCATCTACTCTCCTTTCAACCACCTTCAACCATGCTTGACCTGGCTGGCCTCATGGAACCATGTGATCCGAAACATCTGAACGGGGAGTCCTCGATATCGGCGAGCCCTCCCTTCATCGGTCCTCCCTTCCCACACCGCGCCACGCGCCACGCGCTCGGTCCGCCAGTGCTGCGACCCGGCGCGTTGCGCGTTGGCGATCGCAGGCGGCGGCGGTGCTCCACTGGAAGGTCCACCTGTGCTCGGCGAAGAGCCAAGCGACTCGACCGAACTGCGATTTCGGGGCGGATCGGATCGGCGATTTCGGGGCGGACGTCCACCGTAGTGTCCACCGTGACTTTTTGGAGATGAACCATGGGGTGGAAAGTAGGGTTTGAAAACCAGAGTTGTGGGGCGGAGAGTGGGTGGTAATGGTCATTCCTCCTGAGGTACCATGTAATTGTCAGCAGAGCGAAAATGGACGCCAGCCCCTCGTGTTCTCCCCTGTTGTGTTCCGCCCAGCATGTTAGACTGTTTGAGGAACTGCTGGATTTGAGAGGAGAGTGGAACATAGCTCGAAAGACCCCTGAGCATCCAGTTCCAAATGTTTGGTTCTTTCGATGCTTTTGTGCCTGCCCTTGTTCAGTGCCTGCCCTTGTTCAATTCTCAGTGCCCTCTCTGCATCGCGTTTTTTCATGATCAGGTCAGTGACTGGGCAGTGGGCGACCGAAACACATGGCACCATGGCGGGGACGAATGAGACGGTCAGTCACTGGGGACTGCTTGAGGGAGCAGCTGTTAGACAAGCAGATGATGATGATGATGATGATGATGATGATGATGACGCCGCTGCTGCTGCTGCTGCTGGCGGAGGCGGAGGCGGAGGCGGAGGAGGAGGAAGAGGAGCTGGTTCATCATGGTGAGGAGGGCTGATACTGCAACCGCACGGCAGATTTCTTCGGGTCCCTTGTTTTACTTTCTGCAAAACAGAACAGAACTTGAGCCACGCAGTGGATCCGCAGGCATCAGTGGCTTCAGCAAGACCAAGTCGGAGTTTTTTTCATGTTTTTTCTTTTTGAATAGAGAAGCCATTGGCCACAGATTTGCATACATGTTCATTCCCGGGTGCTTCCAACCGCATGCATGGAATGGGACGTTGTAAGGACCTTGAAAAAGCATGAAAAAAGCCGGCTCCAGTGTGTGGTCGAGTTTCTTAAAGACTGAGCCTCTAGACTCCAGGACTAGTGGATAACCTTCAGTCTTTTTGGGGGGATTGGTTTCCCGCTTTCCCCACTCAAATTCAGGCAGAAAAGGTTTCCCGGTTTCTCCCACTCAAATTCAGGTAGATAAGGGTTAACCATTATTTTCCAGGGAAACATTGAAACTGATGGAATCAGAACATATCAGAACCATACTGAACTTTCGGGACGATTAGAGGAGTTTTCTTTGATCATCAATCACCAAGCATACTCAGAGACCCTACAAGCAACAGCTGACGAAACTTGCCCCAGAATGGCAACAGCAGATGAGGCGTAGCGTCCTTGCTGCATCACGCAATCCATCATCACCGACCTTGACGTTGCGTACTGGCATCCTGACATTGGAAGTCGAAGTGGCAAAAGGCGGCCCAGACGACCCAATTGAAAAGGACAGATGAAGTGGGATAGTGGGATAGGATTGATGGTCCGGTTCATTTGTTGTCTTTTCCTTTTTTTTCACATGAGTCAGAAGCACAAGAACACGGTCACTGTTTCACCTAGAACATCCTGTTTGATATCCTTTGACCAATCTTGGTTTGGATTGTGGCCAGGGTGGGGTCCCTGTGTCGTGTCTAAAGAAGCATCATCAAGTGAAAACCGCTCGGCAGGCGCTTGGCTGCCAGTGAGTTGGAGCAGTGCAAAGATCGAGCTGCTGTGCTTAGGCTGAAAAGTTGGTAACGCAGATGATGTGAGTTGACATTCTGAACATCCGCAAGAACAAGTTGGAAAGAGCGCGCTCTTTTTTCGGTCTTCATCTTCAATCTTTCAACCATTTGGAGGTACCTGGGGCGTTCCGCAAAGACCATGGAAGATTATTTGTGAGTGAAGTCCATCAAGGAGAAACTTAAGATTGTAGTTTTTTGTGTATCTCCCTCTCCCTCGCTCTCTGTGTTGACATTTTGTTGTCATCAAGACTGCCCTCTTTATCCTGTTCTAAGCCAACACCAAGTAAATCCATCGAGCAGTGAACCCCGTTCTGAAAGTCGTTTTGCCCTATTGCCAATCCTTCCGACCGCGGGCTGAATGAAAATGGCGACTGCGGGCTACTTGGTAACCTTTCGGGATCACGATGAGTCCCTGGACGAAGGCGGCGACACCTGGGTGTCAGATTTCATGTACGTTTCAGCGTCCATGGAGTTTTTTCTTTTAGAACACAAACAACAATTCACATCAATTCACCACATCTTCTCCACACCAGGTGTTGTTGTTTCCTTTTGTTATGGCAGCCATAGGTGACGTGGTTCTCCTTGGATTTTCTCCATCACAGATGTTGAGTCCAGGACACCGGCAAATCTTCGCGGCCCATCCGAGGCATGTTGCGCGGCCCTTTAGCATTTGCGCAGCTCACAGGAGCCATTCCTGTTGCCGGTGGTTCGCTTCAAACAGCTGGGAGGTTTTGGACAGAGAGGCCCGTACAGTTTACAGGTTGATTTTCCATGATTTTCCAGTTGAAGGCGGTTTTTGGACATAACTCGACAGCCCAGGAGAAGACGTAGCAATCTAAGATCTACAGGTTGAGTCTCCAGTATCTTCAGGTATCCCAACCTTTATAGATACTGCAGATCCCAATCGATTGGTATCTAAGATTGGTATCTAAGATCCAGATTGCACTTGATTGGTGACTCGATTAGTATCTAAGATGTGCAGACCCCTATCGAGTCACAGCCTTCTATCCGAGGCTTCACATCTATCGATTCTATCCTCCGTTCGCCCGACGTTCGTGCGTTCCAAGAGCCTCCAACTCACTCCACCTCCGCCCAAACCGCGAGCCTGGCCACCCATTTTGGGTGTGGGTCATGGCACCTGGAGCTCACAAACTCTGGTATACGTTCACTTGGGCCGGTAATCTATTCTCTTCATCTTCGGTTGGGAAAAACTGTCCTCAGGTTTTTGACCCACAGCCATTTTGGGTGTGTTTCTTCAGGAGCCCAGACGCGGTGGAGCTCTGCAGCTGCCTCTGTCCCGAGGCCTATGCTGCTTGCCTGCGCCAAACGCGGGAGGAGCCAATCGTGGTCACCACGCCGGAGGAGTATGCTGAAGCGTGGCGAGGAGCGGCGCGTCTGGGTGCAGGGGCGCAGAGAGTGGGACGTCATCATCGACGACGTGAGGTGATCTTGATTCTTCGATTCCATAGGTCCTTTTCATGGTTTCAGAAGGACATGTTAGAACACTTGACGGTTGGTTTTGCTGCTGCTGGTGGTAAATGCATGCTTGGGCACCAGCTTCATTGTTGAGGATCCATAATAGAGCTCCCAAGACACCACGTGAACAAGAACTAAAAAAGGACATGTTTGTAGGAACTGCAATTCTCAAATGACACCTTTGTGACTCACATCTCCGGAAGTCTCGTTTCTCTACTGGCCGTGTTGGGCGGCCCATTTTTTTGCTGCGAGGCCTGGTGGAGGTGGAGGCCGCCGCCAGCGCGGTGGAGGAAGGCCTTGGGAGGCGCGGGGAGGAGCGTGCGTCTCCTCGGGGCTTCGGCCGGTCGGGTTGGAGTGGAAGGCAGTGGAGTGTCGGGTCGGGTCTGGGGAGAGGAATGAAGAAAAGACGAGGTCACACGGGGTCGGATCTCGAAGTGAAGTGATGGGATCTTTGAAGATCAGCTGGAGATGGTTGGATTGGATTGGAGATAGGAGAGAGTTCTCTGGGTTGCCAGAGAGGACGATGAATCAGTTGAAGACATGCCAACACAAACTGGTAAGCCAAGACGTTGCAAGGATTGGCTTTCAGGTTGCCATCTACTTTTGAAGACTTGTGGTCTGAGGTTGACGTTGCTAAAACTTGATTGATACAATCCGCACCAGGAGTGGTCAAGGTTCTTGACGAAAAAGCTTTGGCTCAAGCTTGCAAAGCGGTTGTGACGTACAAACAGACATCAGTTCAAAAATAATATTGTCATGTGACATTCCAATCATGCTGGATCTTTGATCCTCAAAAGAGTCTTTGATTGATCAGGTCAACCAAGGATCCATTTATCTTGTGGTGAGTATACCTGAGAATAACATAATACGTATATATATATAGGTCCCCTGGTTTGGACCCACAGCCACATAGCATTTCAGCTGATGCTGCACCTCTTTTACTTGCTCTACAGCTCCCTCCTGTGGCCCGCCTGCTTTTTTGACTCATGAATCTGCCTCTCCATGCGTCTCTCACTGGGCGTCCTCAGCTTTTGCCGCACCACAAGCCGGGCCTCCCGGTGAGCCACTTCCGCAAAAGTAGCTTCGGCTGGGAGAAGCTTTGTGCCACTTGTTGGACTGTTGGCTTTTGGATCCGATGCCGGACCCCAAGAGTCAAACCTGACCTTCGAGGGCAGATCGCCCGATCTGCCAGGACGGAAATGGTGGTGGATGGTGATTGTCACACCTTTGAGCAAATCCAGGAAGCCATCAACTACTTGAAACGTGAGGGTCGAAATCTGCGCATCAGGCTTTTCGCCGCGCCGGGCAGGGCTGACAACAAGGAGTGGCAGAACTTCATGAGTGAGCATGGTGTGATTTTTCGACCAGTGAAGCGGAATAACCATTTGCACCAGGATTCCAACGATGAAGCTATCATCGCAGCCATGAGCAACTTCTGCAAGAACCCCCCAAGTTGACAAAGTGGCCCTCTTGACATCAGATTCCGATTTTGTCAAACCCATCCGGGAAATTAACAAGTCAGGAACTGATTGCGTTGTTTTCGTCCCTGAGAACAAGTTCTCACCAATTAGAGAATTCAAAGCTGCGGGGGCTCGCACTGTGAAGCTGAAATGTGAGAACAAATTGCTTAATGTCAGGGCAATTCTTCATGACATCGGAGCTGGCTCGGTCCTGCTTGAGCCTGCGAATCCAGTGCCAAGGATTGTGCTACCCCAAAATGAGTATGATGCTCGCATCATGGTCATCAAACGATTTCTTCAAGAGTCTGGCTACGGAGAACAGCAGGAGCACGTGATTTAAGGAGTAGTCAAATTCTGGTTTGTCAACAAGCTGGGTTCACTGGTTGTCTTCCCTCCCTCAGTGGGGCTTTGCACAGCCTATGATTTCATTACTCAAGCTTCCATGGCCTCCTCTTGGAAACACTACTCAGAGTTGGATGAGCTCGCATACTTCTTGCCGATGTTCTAACTGAGCGGTCCAAGCAACAGTTTGGGTGTACAAAGGCTCGCCAAGTGTTTAGAGGAGGCGGCCCATTCTTGCTTTCAGATTCACCTGACTTGGTATCAGAGGCATTGACAAGGCTTGGCTACCTGGATGATGACTTCAATGCTGACTTGACCGAAGCATTGTTTTGCTTTGTGAACACATCTGGCAACAAGCGTAGATTGAGAAAATGGGGCATGCTGCCTGCGCAGGCAGAAAAGAGTGCTGATGTCCAACGGAAGCTTCGCAGTGCATTTCTTTCAAGCGCACTTCCCGGAGAGTGGCAAGTGATGAGCAAGAGTAAAGGTGCAAATCGGCAAATGCTGAACATCTTGAAAGCGGCAGGCATACTGAGCACGGGGTCTCAATATTCCAGGCATGAGTTGTTTCAAGCCATGCAGAGCTACGCGCACAAGAAGGGCCTGCCCAAGATGAAGACTTGGAATGGCCTGACTTTCAGAATTCTTCGTGCCAAAAACACAAAAGACCCGAGCACGAGAGCGGAGATCCAGTTGTCTCGAGGCAATTAAAACACATCGGAGACCGAAGAACAGATCCACGGATCTCACGTTTCTAATGTACCATAGGCGTTTCTAATGGGTCAGAATTCTTGCGATGTAGCCTATTCCTCCACCCAAATGCTGCAAAGATTGACGGAGGTCTCCAAGCCTTTGAGACGCTGCATGGTCTCCGGGAACTGTTCGCCTCGCTCACGAAAGCGATGAGGGGGATTGCTCCCAAGCAAGGCTTCTGAAGGGCTCACATGCTGGGAGGATGTGTCTTTGTATTCTCAAGATTTTTGTTCAAAGCTTCGGCCAATAGATTCGGGGCCAATGGAATTGCTTGCCGGAATTGCTCCCTGAACTCTCGGACCATGGCGGAACCAGCAGGGCTCAGAGTGTAGCAACGGTGTGCAACAGCGTGAGAGAAAAGATGCCTCAGAGGTGGGCGTGGCACCTGGTAGCACAACCACGTATGGAACCGTGGTGCGTGTGAGGCGTTTGACCCATGGAGGCACTTCCGTCTCTCTGTCATTACAGCAAAGCATGTTTTACCATGCAGACTACGACTGACGTGTAGGTATTCTCTGCAAGGGTATTCAACATACATAAATATAACTACAACCTAATAACTGCTTGTACAAATTCAAATTCACAAAGAACAGCAACCTTAATTGCTCTACTACAACCTTATTTGCTTAGTAGAATATATACAAATTCACCCGTGGCCGACGGGTAGATGGTGCTCAGCACCGTGTTGTGCTGTTCTCCGCGTGCCAGGCACTTGACCGACGTTTGGGTGGACTGGGAGGAGAGTGCCTTGGCCAAACCCTTTCCTACCGTTGCTTGCTCCAGGCCGAAGGGAGTAGATATGATACATGGGTCCAACCAGTGGGTTACGGTTCTGGTTGGCGAAGGAGATGTTTGGTTTCCCAACCGGCAGGTGAAGAAGTGCCTGGTAGACTAGACAACTTTTCCGCATGGAAACTGGCTAGTACCCACCGCTGGGTAAAGGAGAAGGGGGGGATGAATTGCGATCAACGTTTCATGAAACCACTAAATTCATCGCCACTTCTTCACACAATTTATGAAAACAATCACACTGGTTTTGGAAAAACAATCACAAGACATCACAAAGCACAGACCGACCGTGTTTGGCAAGTGCTTGGCAGTGGATCACCTGACCAGTTTCCTGCGGTTTCCTGCGGTCTGACACACAAGGACCGGTGGTCTCATGATCAACCATTGGGCCAATGTGGGTTGTTGTTGCTCCATCCACCGATGGATGGCGTGGAGCAGCTGCGGCCTTCCTTCCTTCCTTGACCCCGGTGACCCATCCGTCCGCACTGCTTCTGTAGGTGAAGGTGTCACCTATGGCCGCTTTGAGGTGAAGGCTGCTTGGCTTTCGGGCTTTGCGAGACAGCGGTTGGGTCAGATAGGGATAGTATTGAAGAACCTCTTCTATATAGAAAGCATGTGTTTTTTTCACCAAGTCGACCGGGGGGGAGGTTCAAACAGTCTTGTTCCATGCCTATTGGCATCATTGGCAGTTCTGGTGTGGGATGGTGTGGCGAATTGGCGAAGCGTTGCGTTGCTTCGCGTCTCGAGACGTCAAGTGCTTCGTTCTGAACCGCCTGTCGCGCTAGTGGTGCCATCCACTTTCAAGCATGGTAAACTAGGGTCCCAGGGTCCGGGTCCGGAGGCCAAACAGGAAAGAAGGAAGAAAAAGCGAACTGATCCAGTGTTGGATGGTCAGGACCTTTTTTCTAGGGGTTGATCACGTAACGGACATGCTGGGCGATTCTTTCGCCGGTGTTCGGTGATACATCTTCTTCCCATCGGCGATACGTGGCTGGTCCGGATGCTACTGTCTGAAACATGTTTCAGCTACACACCGACCGACAGTCTTGCGGAAGATATGTATTGCACTGCCATCGAAAGGTCTCACTTCCACTGTTCGGCCCATTTCAGTTTGTTGTTGTTTCCAAGAAGGACGATGGAGAAACTGCCAATTCTTGATATATATATATATATATATCGCGACAAGAGTGTGTTGACCCCAAGTTAGCTCAGAATCGATGCTTTTCGTCTCCAAGCTAGCCCAGGCAGCGCTCTTATTCGCCCACAAGATCAAGTGCCTCGTTTGCCACCGGCCTGGACCCGGATTCTCCACATGGATTGGAAGACTTTTGGGGATGTATTGGGAGGGAAGGTCTCTGGCGAAAGTAGCACAGACCCCAGTCAGTGGGTGGTAGAAATATGGACGCCTGTATGAAAGACACTTTTGGGTTTGTGCCATCTATTCTGAAACCACTGTAAATGTGCTCTGTTCTTGAGGTGTCGGAAACTCGGAACCCTCTTTTTAAATGCAACTGACCATCAAACCTCACCGTCCTCCCTTCCCATCCTCTCTCGCTTCTTTCTGCCCTTCTTCTTTCGCAACTCAATGCCATGTTCGCTCTCCGCCCCACCGCCACCGCCCGCCCCACGCGGCGAGTCCGGTTTCCGGGACGGCGAGGTTCCGCTCGGCGATGCCGCTGGGCGAATGGGGCTCCAGTTGGCTCTGCGTGAGGCGGCACCTCAAAGGCGGAGGTGGGAGATGGGGGCGGAGCGGTGTGGTGGAGAGGAAGGATGGCAGAAAGGCTGGTGCCAAGGTTTTTCCGAGGTGTGGGCCAAGAGTTCTATGGTACGTGTGGACGGAAAAAACCGCAGGGGCTTTGGAAGATGAGGACTTTCTCTATCCAAGTGGTTTCAGCTCTCTCTCTCTCTCTCTCGGAGGTGTGCCCTGGCATGGCCATGGCGCGGTCATCAAGGCCTCCTTTGATGAGAAGGCCGAAGTCGTCTGCGTTCGACAAAGGCCGACATCGGGATGAAGTGGGTGGATGTAAGATGTGAGATCGTGTGGTGCGGGCTGCAGCTTTGATCCCGAATGCAGCTTCAGGGTGTTCCAGCTAACTGGCTTCAGGGAACGTTCCGCCAGCTGCATTTCAAACATGAATGATTGAAGTACATAATATCTAGTGAGACGCCCAATGTTTTGTCCAATGAGGGCTTCTTCCCCTGCAACTTAAACTACTCCCATGTAGGGTAAGTCTTCATAGCACGGTTCCTCCAGCTATGAGCCTTCAAGTCCAGCCTCCCGCCGCCTCTGTGGCCTCTTGGTGATCCAAACCGGATCATGGTGCTTTGGATCTTCACCTTTCGTCGGTTTTGGAAAATGCAGGACTTCACAGGGACTTCAGAGGTCGACTCGATATGGAAATTCCACTTAATTTCATCTTAAAGCCAACTCCGATTCCATCAAACTGGCGTCCCCGCCTTGGTTCCAGGGCTGCGTTTCGGGGCCGCGTACGCGGCGCGGGGGGGGTTGGCAGGACTTGATCTTCGCGGAGGAAGACGACACCTGGCAAGCCCCTGGGTCCGTACTACGGTGCTGCGAAAAAGACTTGGGGTGGATCATTGGTGCGGTGTGCGGTGTGACTGAGCCTGCATGCGCCTGCTATGTTTTATGGTGTATGTGTTTATGCCCATGTTCAAGGTGTTTTTTTTTTAAACTTGGCACTGTTTTGAGGCAGACCCATTGTTCCATTTGCTTCTTTTTCCAATGCCGCATCGGTTGTCGCTGGCAGAACGGCTTCATGGTGGTGCGACCAGGACGCACGAAAAGCCCATTCTCCACGCAGGGTATTCTGATTCGTGCGAGGCAGGGAGCCGAGTTGGGGGTACTTGGGGGGTATCCATCTTCACCAAACAGGGGGAGTTCGCCAACCCCTTGCTAGTAGAAGAGAAGACCTAAATTTGCGGCACTGTAAGCGCCTGGCATGTCGCGTGCCCTATAGCATGCCCCATGTGTCCTTAGCTCCGCCCCGCAGTGCCCCGCCGCACGTGTTTTCTCGCGGAGCTTCCGCCGCTTCTCCGCCACACTGAGATGACCTGTCCACCGGACGCCGCTGAGGACAGCGGCTCCAGCCTTCGCATCACCTTTCGGGTCATCGCGACCGCGCCGCGCAGGCTCGAGACGACGACGACGACGACCCCCTGAAACGGACGCTCGGAACTCGGGAACCGGTCTCAGCTTCTTCTTTTTGGTCCATCAGCCGGCCCTAGAGGATTCCTGGCCCTAGAGAATTTCAAAGTCTTAAGCTGGATCTGTCAGGATCTGATGCAAAAGCCTCCCTTTTCACCGAACCACCGAGCTCCTTTACATGGTTTCTACGGGCCAACTGGTTGGTGACCAAACCATGTCAACCGGTTGCGAGCTACGGCGGCCGGGTATGGTCTCGAATGGCGCTTCAGGTCGGTAACAGTGGCCGCATCGTTGAAACATCGATCACGCACCGTGAAAGAATGCGGTCGCATCGCTCAGGACTTGCAGGTTTTGGCAGGTTTTGCAACGCATCTGAGAATTCATGCAATCTTTGGAACAAAATGACATGTACATAGCTTTCAACGAAACGGTATTGGTGTGCCAGCGAATGATGACTGCCATGTTGCCTTCCGCAAAACGAACCTGAGACCAGCAGTGTTCACAGAACGCTCGATTCTCGGTGCGTTCGATGGTGGTTTCGAGAGGGGCTTCGATCGCCAGGAGTGGCGAGAATGGCTTGGCCTCCGGCTACGCCCCTCCGGTGAATGGGTTTTATCTCTTGGAGCTCATTCCCAAGGCGTGGCCTGCCATGGCTGCTGTGGTAGTTCTGCAGTTTTGGGCCAAGCCTCTGACTTGGGGAGCTGAATTATGACTTAACTCGGTGGACGCTTTTAAGCTCTGCTCTGAGGGAAGGTTCCTTTTTGGATGTTGGTTCATCTCGGTTGGAAACACTTGCATGGTGCCAGCACTAAGAAGGGATGGTATTGAATCGTAGATGGGATGATGGCTTTTTGCTCTTTCGCAGCAAGCTCCTGAAAGTAGTACATACCTACCGAGCTCCAGAAGGTGTGAGGCCATGTGAGGACTTTCGAGTACCGCAGAGCTGGAAAGTCTCAGCTCACAACAGCTGTGTGAAGCCCACTTCCCCACCTTGGAGTGTTCGGTGTGTCAATGTTGCGAATGCACATGTGAGATTTGTTTTCCATTTTGCAATGCATTTCATGATGAGAGCGGATAGATGACATTCGAGTCACACCGCAATCGAATTTCAATTCTCAAATCCGGCCGAAGGGCCCTTGAGTCACGTTCGGCGACGACCTTCGCCACCCGCTGGCATCGTGAGAAAGGACGCATCGCGGCCTTCGAGTTCTTTTTCTTTGGTTGCTTGGAACTTCGTGAGTTCAAGTACTTCGAGATTGGTAGCGGAGCCCAAGACGATCCTCCCGGAATTTGACCAGGGTGAACTTTTTGTTTGAGGACGCCTATAGGGTAATCCTGGCCGGTGAGAATTGGCTCATCTTAAAGATCACGTTCAGCAAGGCAGTCACAAATGAGTGGTCAGCAAAGAAGACAGCGAGATAGACAAGAAGGTGAACAACCAGTTGATGTCCCCATACCTCCTTCTCCTCCACGTGCAGCGAATGGAGCTAGTCCAGGAACTCCCTCCTCTGGCTCCAACAACTATCGTGGATTGGATAGTGGCTTGGCAAAGGCCGCACCATCGGCCGAGGGGCTAACGCAAAGTGGCTATCGCAGCTACAGAAGACGATTGGAATTGTATGCCCTGCAGTGTCGTCGACGCTCAACGGATGCTGAGATTGAAGGTGCTCTTTTGGTCATCAGCCTCCTCAAGGACACTGTTTGGGATGCAGCAGAACAAATAGATTTGAAAGAAATCACAAGTGGAACAAATCCGTTCGCACCTTTGTTCACCATGATGGACCAGCTATTTCAATATGAAGAACAAATTGAGGTTCCATATCGGTGTGAAGAGTTCTTTCAAAGCTTCAATCGTCAGAAGGGAGAAGAAATGCAGGCATACCTCATTCGCCACCGCACTGCTTTGAAGAAACTTCGAGAGGTAAAGATCGACATTCCACCACTTCTTGCTGGATGGCATTTGTTGACCCGAAGTGGAACTCCAAAATGGACACACGTGCAAGTGAAAGCATTGTGCAAAGGCGAGCTTGACTATGAAGAGGTCCAACGAGCTTTGCTTCGAATGTTTGGTGGAGATCACAAACCAAACACCAAGGACATTGGACCTGTGGCCAAGTCATCCAAAGACGAGTTCTTCTATGAGGAAGACTTTGATGAGGAGCTCTACTACGAAGGAGAAGAAGAAGATGATTGGCATGAAATCTACTATGAAGGTGATGAAGATGAAGAAGAAATCCCTGAGGAGCTTGAAGAGGCATACGAAAACATGGATGAAGCCTACATTTCCTACTTGGAATCAAGAAAAAGAATGAAGGAACTTGCCTTGGCTCGTGGCTTCTACCCCGTCGTAGCCATTGGTCCTGACTTCGACCATGGCAAAGGAGGCAAAAGCGAAAGAAAGGGAAGCTCAAAGGGCAAAGGAAAGAGCAAAGGAAAAGGAAAAGGAAAAGGCAAAGGAAAAAGCATGTTTCCTCGACGCCCAATGCATGGTCTTCGAAAGCCACCATCTTCGTCGACCACGACTTCCTCCGAGTTGAGATCAACCCTGACCGGTTCCAATTCTTCTCATGGACCGAGGTTCAAACGATATCGAGTGCAAGCACAAGGTGTCAAAGAAGTTGGCGGTGAAGAGGTGACCATGGTGGAAGAACTAACGGAAGAGTGCTTTCAAGAGGACATTTTCTTTGCCACCCTTGCTCCAGGTCACGCAATTGTGGATTCAGGTGCAACAAGAACATTGGTCGGAGAAGAAGTGTGGAAAGAATGGGTCGAGCACTATGATGAAGGCCTACTTGGACCTCTCCGTACTCAGGCACAAAAGCGATCCTTCAAGTTCGGCGGCGGAGAGATGCTTGAATCCAACTACGAAATCTCCTTCAACGCCTTGGTGAAAGGTCAAAAGTTGCCCATCACGGTTTCAGTGGTACCTGGGCACACTCCCTTCCTGTTGGCGAGACCTGTGCTGGAACAATGGGGGGTGAAACAAGACTACGCCAGTGGCAACATGAAGGTGGCTCAATCCGAATGGTTTCAACCAAGTCGTGGACAAAAAGGTCACTATGTCTTGAACTTGTTGGAATATCATGAAGACGAACAAGAGATGAACTACATCACGGAAGAAGAGGTCTTGATCTCGACAAGTCCACTGGAAATTGAACCGCCCTGTGAGTCAGAACCGTCTGACATTGCAGAGCAGATCCTCATGGAGTCCGAAGCAAATGAAGTTGAAGAGATTTCTCAACAAGTTTTGCAGCGCCTTCAACAAGAAAGAAAATTGATCTTCTTTGAGGTCTATGTGGATGAAGGCAACCTGGCTACAGAACTGTTGAAACGCTTTCCAGACTGTGAGGTCGCCACTTTCAGCCTACCTCATTGGGACTTTGAAAAAGAAAATGACCGAAAAGCATTCCTCAAGTTGGTGAGAGAACAAAAGCCTCACTTTATCTGGTGTGCACCACCGTGTACGAAATGGTCACCAATGCAAAGGCTCAACATGATCAAGGCCGAAAAGCTAGCCTACATCCTGGAATTGCAGAAGCAAGAAGAAAAGCAACATTTGAAACTGGTTTTGGATGTCACCGACATCTGCAACTGGGAGATCAATGCCGGCATGGCCATGGAGCATCCTCATTTGGCTATGTCATGGAAGACGAAAACCTTGGAGTCCATGGATGGTTATGATGCAATCTGCAACCGATGCAGGACCGGCTTGTGCTACTATGATCGCATGGGAAACTATGTCGGAAAGGTCAAGAAACCTACGAGGATTCGCACAAACAGCCAAATGGTCTTTGAAGCACTTGACCTTCCATGTGAATGTCTTCCTGGAGAGCATGTTGCTATGGATGGAAAAGCAGAAAGCTTGAAGAAAATGCAAAACTACGAAAGAGGCTTCGTGAAAAGAGCAGCAAATGCCATCTATCAGGAGATGGAAGAACGATGGCGACAAAGAGAGATAGCCAAGATCTATATGGTTGAAGAGCAGGATGAGAAAAACAAAGTGAAGAATGCATCCAACATCACTGAGGAAGAGAAGAAGCTGATGAAGACCCACAGCAAGCAAAACCTACAGGTCATCAGCAAACTGCACAAGCAACTTGGACATCCAGGTGTAGATCGGATGATCAAAACGCTTAAAGATGCAGGTATGGATGAGTCTCTGATCCGATGTGCCAAAGACTACAAGTGTGAAGTATGTGAGCAACAGGCACAACGGAAATTGGAGAAACCAGCTTCACTGCCTCAGGCCAGTCACTTCAATGAATGTTTGGAAGCCGATGTTTTTCACATCCGCTGGAATGGAGAAAAGCGAAAGGTTTTGGCCATCCTCGACATCTATTCCAAGTACGAAATCAATGCAGTATTGGAGAGAGAAACGGAAGAAGCTGAACTGAAGATACTTCGTGAACAATGGCTGCAAACTTTTGGTCCTCCAGAACGATTCCGAACAGACCAGTCTGGAGCACACATGAGTCAGAAGTATCTGGACTTCTTCGACCAAAACAACATCAAGCTGACCTCGTGCCCAAAGAAGCTCACTATAGAATGGGATCAGTGGAAAGACTCCACGCTGTGAGAAGAATGCAGCTGCTCAAGATGCAACAAGATGAACCGAATGTACTCCTTGAAGACGCTGTTCCAGTTGCTTGTCATCAACGAAACCGCCTTCGTTCAGTGCATGGTAGCTCACCATACCAAATCGTTTTTGGACACAATCCTCAATCGAACGGTCTTTGTGATGAACCGCACTTGTCCAAACCGCTCGATGACACGGAACAGCACCAAAAAGATCAAGCACTTCGGTATTCAGCAGCAAAAGCATTTTATGAAGCCAACAACAACCAGCTGCTCAAACGTGCACTTCTTGCCAGGCCACGGTCTGAACATGTGGCCGCCAGCCTTGGCGATTGGATCTACTACTGGAGACAGGGGGAAAACAAACTTGACCCCGCTCGCTGGCGTGGCCCGGCATTGGTCTGCGCCATAGAGCCCCGCAAGAACGATGACGGCCGCATCCGAGCTTCTGTTTACTGGGTTGCTCATGGCTCCAGTTTGGTGCGTGTTGCAAGTGAGCATATTCGTGCCGAGGTGGCTCGAGAAAGAGTTCATCGCCTGGAAACGCAACCTGACACAGCTGTTTCGAACAGTTTGGTTCATCGAGTTCGACAAGCTCTGACCCCTGTGCAGGGTCCTGTGCGTTTTCTTGATCTTGCAGGGGATCCCACCTTTTCGAATGCAAAGGCTGAAACTTCTGTCCTTTCTCTGGTACCACCAGAGACAAAGGCTGAAACTTCTGTCCCTCCTCTGGTACCACCAGAGAGTCCAGAAGTTCCAATGTCAGAACCTCAAGCCGAAGAAGAAGTGACAACAGAACCTCAGCACACTGCGGCAGCAGCAGAACACAAGACAGCAGCAGCAGAAGCTGAAGCAGTTGAAGTAGAAACAAAAGAAGACCAAGATCCAAGTGGCCGAGGAAGATCAAGAAGCCCTCCACCTCATGACTCTCGGCACAAAGACTTTGAAAACCTGTATGAGTCCTACAACAAGGCACGTCAACTTGATGGCCTCCCGCCTGTTTCTCGAGATGATCAGCATCTGAAAAGTCAATATGACATGCTGTATGGTGAGGAAGTTGATCGGCTGGACGAAAATTTCATGGCCACTTCATTCAGTGAGAAGAACCTCACCAAAGAGCAGAAAGAAGAGTTCGCCGAAGCTCGCGACAAGGCTTTGGATGTCTGGTTTGAGAATCAAGCATGGCGACCAGTCGATGCCTCCGAAGCCCAACCAGGCGAAGCAGTACCAGCAAGATTTTTGCAGCGCTGGAAGCCAACAAAAGAAGGGCAGAAAGCAAACGCCCGAATCATCATACAGGGATTCAAACATCGTGATGTGCTCGAAGACACTGTAGATAAGGAAGCTCCTACTTTGTCCATGGTTGGTCGCAGCTCCATTTATCTTTTTGCAGTGGTTCGTCAGCTCAAGCTGTGGAGTGCTGATGTGAAGACTGCTTTTCAACAAGCAGACAACATCGAACAAGAAGCCCGAGTGTTCATACAGCCCTCAGCTGAGATTCGACGCCTCCTGGAGAGAAAGATTGGATTGAAACCATGGCAAATCATGCGTGCATCCAAGCCCGCTTTTGGTGATTGCAGAGCTCCAAGACAGTGGAATGCAACTGCTCATAGGTGCTTGACTGAGGAACTTGGCGTGATCCCACACCCTTTGGATCGTTGTGTGTACCTCAGCATTCGAGCTGCATATGAATCTGATCCAGCTTTCGAAGTGTTCCAATGGAATGGGGTCCCTAGCATTGTTGACGGCATTTTTGGACTCCATGTGGACGACTTCATTGGTGCTGGTGAAGGTTTCTGCAGTGAGCATGATTTGAAAAAGGAATGTCCCAATGAAGAGTGTTTCCTCTACCGCATCCTGCGTTTGGCTCAGCGTTTTCGTTTTGGTGCATGGGATTTTGGAAATGGCTCAAAGATCATCTTTTGTGGTGCTGAACTGCAACAGTCGTTAGACTACTCCACCATTTCGGTGAGTCTGGCGAACTATGTACAGAAGGTGAAACCTATTTCATTGGACAAATCCAGGAAAACAATGACGGAGTCTCCATGCGATGAACGTGAACACCGACAGTTCCGTGCCCTCATTGGTGCGCTGGCATGGCCTGCTCATCAAAGCATTCCTGAGTTGTGTGCAAGCGTGAGCATTCTGCAAGCATCAGCAAGCAATCCATGTGTTGGTGATTTGAACCAAGCAAACAAGCTGCTTCGTTTTGCAAAAGAAGTTTCAAAAGATCACCAACTGTACATGCGTGGTTCATGTGCTTTTTCGGAGTTGTGCATTGGAGCATATACCGATGCTGCCTGGGCCGTACGACCCGACGGATCAAGCCAAGGTGGACTTTTGGTTTTCATTTGTTCGCACCAAGAGCTGGAATCTGGCAGCATGATGCCGCTCAATGTTTTTTATTGGAAATCGCACAAGTTGGCACGCATTTGTAGGTCAAGTTTGTCCTCAGAGGCTCAAGCAGCCGCCATTGCAGTGGATGAGCTTGAATGGTGCAAGATTTTTGTTTCCGTCATGATCGACCCCACCTTGCCGATCGAAAGTCCGGAAGCATTGCAAAAGCTTGGACCATCCCCGCTTGTGACAGATGCAAAATCTTTGTTTGATGCTGCCAAGTCCTTGTCTCCCAGCATGAAATTGAGTGAGAAAAGAACTGCGATCGAAGTGGCCATTGTGCGAGATCGTATGAACGCTTTGTTGGGAAAATGGATGTGGGTGAACTCACACCAACAGATCTCTGACGGCTTGACAAAGCCGGCTTCCAGAGATTCCATGGCCTACATCATGAAGCGTGGCACCCATCAACTCAAGTTCAACCCCGACTTTACAGCCTCCAAGAAAGTGTCCTCAGAAGCCAAGAAAGAAGAAAGGGAAATCCATGAAGCTTTTTCAAAAGAAATGGAAGAACAACAAGTTTTTGCAGTAGAAGAGTGGCAAAAGCATGAACAAGGTCTTTGTTTACTTCCAAGTTGCTGCAAACCCCGCAACGAGAGTGATCCTCGAAACAAATACTGCAGCAGAAGGCATTTTTATGCCCATCGCAGCTCAAATAGTCATCAAGACGAATGGAAGAAGGCAGCCTTGTTTTCCGCAGCCATTTTGATGGCAAGCGAAGCGCCTCTTGCTGAAGGAGCTTTGACATCTGTTGAAGCTGAAGGAGGGAGATTACCAATCTTCATGTCCTTCATGGTCATCATGATCTTCGCATGGATTGGCCTTGAAAACGTGTTTCTGCGTTTTGGCATTGAAACCATCTTTTACAAGGCCTACCGCTTTGCAAATGACAAGGTGACGAACCTGTTCAGAGAGGAGATGAATGAAAATGAGCAGGTTGTTGAGAATGACCAAGCTTCTGCGAATGCCCCAGTGAATGAGAACCCGCTAAATCCTCCTAGCCATGTCGTTTCCGCAGCTGTTCAGGCCGATGAGGTGATTCTAAATGCACTGACTTTGGCCCGTCGTCCTGGAATAGATTCAGGAAGCACGACTACGAACACAGAGTCGGATCTTCCAGATGAAGAATGGCATCGCTGGAGTCGCATGAAGGTGAGAGTTCAAAACGAGGCTGGACAAGGCCCATATCGTCGCCTTCTATGGGAACTTGAAAACCATGATAGCAGTCTGGACTCCCAGACAAGGTGCGTGTTGCAATCTGAGAGCTTCACCACACAGCGCTGGAGGAAGTTCAGTGAATTGCTTCGAGCTCAGGACACCTCGCAATTTTCTGATGAGCAAGTATGTCAGTGGCACCGAATGTGGAATGACAACCTGGTGTTTTTGGCTGACGTGAATCGTCGCATCGTTCGTCAGAGAAATCAGATCATTGCCTTGGAACGCAATGACCGTGTTCGTGAGCAAATCTACAATGGTGAACTGGCTGACCGAATCTGCCAGACTCCTGTGACTTTTGTTGCTAGAACTCGACCAAGACGCCTGGCTGAGAGAGAACATGGTGCCTGGTACCATGTGAGTGATTTAGATGTCCTTCGTTGAAGAGGACTCTAGCCCGCTTTTTTGAATTTTCTTCGACAGCCCTTGAAAACTTCCTTGGGCGTGTCAATGTTGCGAATGCACATGTGAGATTTGTTTTCCATTTTGCAATGCATTTCATGATGAGAGCGGATAGATGACATTCGAGTCACACCGCAATCGAATTTCAATTCTCAAATCCGGCCGAAGGGCCCTTGAGTCACGTTCGGCGACGACCTTCGCCACCCGCTGGCATCGTGAGAAAGGACGCATCGCGGCCTTCGAGTTCTTTTTCTTTGGCTGCTTGGAACTTCGTGAGTTCAAGTACTTCGAGACGGTGGACATTTGTTGGGCCCGGAGCAGATTCCCAGAGCAGATTCCACTCCTTAAAAAAGGACACTACCAGAAGGCAGTTCTATGATCCATGGATATCCATGGTACCTTTTGTTTTATTCACCTTTCCTTTTGTTTCCCAGCGGATGCGACCAGGTCACGCCTCCGCTTTCTTCTCCTCAGGCACTTGCGGAGAGCTGTATGGCCTTGGCTTTGGAGGAGCTGCCGCACTGCGACTCGATCAACCAACATGGCGACGGGTTGGGATGTGAAAAGGGGGGATGCGTTTGGGGGGGCCCGGCAGTGTTTGTCGTCGCTTGGACCAAGAGGGTCTGTTCGTCTTCCTGGTTGTGTGCAGGGAGTTGAAGCATTTGTTTCAGCCATGACGGCAGACTTTTCCCAGTAGCTGGCGTTCAAATTAGCTATCTATGACACAACTGCTGATTCGGTCGAACATCCTTTACACAACGCTTCCATCATGAACGGCGCTTCTGCAAAAATCTGCACACTGGTTTACCCCAAAAGCCTGTCTAGTCTACGTCGCCCACTTTCATCCCTGCAACACCACCGAAGGACGCTTCATTCCAACAAAGATTGAAGCGTCCTTTTTCAGCCTATATGTACCACTGCAGTTTGGGTCCCGGCCTCAACAGAAAACCATCCTTTCGAACCCTTTCGAATCCTTCGTTCACCGACCTGCACGCACGAACCTCCTCGCTCGCTCGCTCTAGCGAGGTCCGTTAGTGCAACGTTTGGTCTTGGCCGGTCCCAGCGACGAAAGGTCCGGGGTCCTGGCGAAAGCGCCGAAGACAGCGAAAGCGCCGCCGGCGAAAGCGCCGGAGAGTCGCGAGAGTGGCGACAGCGAGGAGGCTGTTATCCAAGGAGAAACAACGGTGGATCCGGCAGCGCAGCTGCAGGCGATGGACATGCGGATCCGGGGATCATCTTTAGTGTTTTCAGTGTTGAAAACGAACTCTAAACTACCACAGGTTCGAATACAGATTTGCAATGATGGTTTGGATTCAGATCAACCAAAGCTAATGGATTCACGCGGTCACTCGTATAAGTGGCACGCAGAGCCTGCGCGCCCAGAGCTGCGCGGCATGACCTTTCTGCCTTTCATCCAAACTCGTCAGACACAAACGGATGGCGAGGAAGTAGGTTCGATCGATCGAAAAGCAGTCGAAGTTGACTAAGTTGACTAAGCACAACACGAAGAAGACGAAGACAACGCATCCAGTCAAGGCACTCAGTGCTCACGTGACTCTGTCAAGACTTGACGTGATCAACCAAAGATCAGCTCAAACTCCGGTGATCTCAGGTCTTTGGAGTCTTTGACCCTACTTTTTCACCGGTTTTTCACCAGTCTTCACCCCATGCACCGGTCCCGGCTGCTTCGCCGCTTCTGCAGCGGGTCCGGCTACCTTCGCCGCCCAGGTCGCTCGCTCCGGCGCCGGAGGTCGTGGAGGTCGCGGCGCTGCTGGACTCGTTGAACGACTCCCAGCCGCTGAGAGCTGAGGTTTTTTGATGCTACTAGTAACAAAGGGCATCGCTACTAGTAACAAGTGCCTTACTAGTAGAAACAAGAAGCTATTAGAAACAAGAAGCTACTAGTAACAAAGGGCATC